TTCTTCTGCACTGTTATTTTTAGTACCTTGAAGATGAGAACAATTATTTCGAGGAATTTCACCAAAATTGTAATCGATAGGACGACCAATTTGAATATACAGTACAGTATTTCCATTAACGTTCAAGGGAAAACATGATTCCACGTGCGGATGTTCCAACATAGGGACAAGGTCCAAGCATCAACTACGTCCGCATCTCAGGGCCCCACAGTAGCTTTCTTGAGACGAAAAATTCATTAAAAAAATAACTCATTCACAAAAAAAAAAAAAAAAGAACTTCGTTGCAAGCGCAATACAACGAGATTCTACTGTGCAGTACTGTATTCGAATTGAACCCCCGACCGTAAATTGCCTTCCAATGAACCGTTCACTTAATATTTTCATCAACTGGTTCCCACTCTTGTCATGAAATTTTGGTCCACATTCATAACGAAAAACTTTTTATATATACAAACTTATAGATTTATAAATTTAAAAAATAAAAAGATTTACGACCCGGATGCAACAAGATAGTGCATAATGCGCTGCAACATTCCGATAAAGCGACGCTTTTCGCATACTCCATAAATAGTCAGATCGATAATAGCCGCGCCAAAACCCTCAAGGTGCGCAAATGTGACGATAAAATGCGGTGATCGAGTCCATCTCTGCGGTTTACAGCTGGAAAATTACTTCTCTGTCAAACAAATTGACCGGAACACTAATAAACTAAGACGGTGTTCTCCAACTTTTTTTGAGCCCGCATACAGAGCATTTTTTGCAGAGTGGCAAAGTTGTATAAAATGTTTGCGGACTAATGAAGATTTGCTTGCAAGAGTTCATCAAATGTATTTTAAAAGTTTCCGTTTTTTTGAAAAAAAAAAGCAGCTATAGTAGCATATCTTCAAAAAATCAGAAAGGTTTCTCATGATGAAAAATTAAACTACAATAATTCATTCCAGCATGTGACAATTTGTCTGAAGTTCTATCGAGAGAAAAGCCAACTTTAATTTTTCATCAGAAAAATTCAACTGCCATTATCTTTCTAAAATTTAAGATGGAAGATAACAGACTCCTATATTACTTTTTACAAATTTATTATGCTGACGGAAATTTTCCGCTGACGGGCAAAAACCGTCTGCGGACCGGCGCCCTTTCGCGGACCACGGGTTCGGATAGATTGAACTGAGACATCCTCACAAATACTGTACTGTATATTCTTACAATCCGAATACTGTACTGTATTACATAGTGTATTACGTACCAAAGATATAATGTTCAGGACGAAGAGTTAAGCTGCCCATTCACTGTTCTTATTTTCTGGCACACAGCCACTCTTGACGACAGGAGCCTAACCTTGAACCGAACTAACCCAAAACTAAAGTATTGACCAACATAACCTCCGAAATGGGTTGACAGATGGAAATATGCCCGCAGAAATACTGTGTGAAGAAAGATTTAAAGAGAAGCCAGGACTGACATAATATGAGAAACCTTGGGAGATCCGATTACCTAACCTACATTACTCTGTACCACTCGCAGACGTGCTAAGCATACCAGCTAAAAAATCAAAGATCCATACACTAAACCAAACTCAGTGATCGAGTTTGACGTAATATCAAATCCTCCCGAGCCCACATCGTCTTACTCTCAGCCATGATGGAGACGTGAAAAGTGGAATTCCTGCTGAAAAATCTTACAAATGCCGCGAGCACCGCGACGCCTCCACCGCCAAATCTGGATAAATATGATGATGCGGTGGCGATAATTTTCAACCAACCGCGGCAGAAGCGCATACAGACAGAGGAGAAGGAATCGCGCCCCATTTGCTCCCCAAAGCCGGACAGAAACAACGATAAAGCGTGTCAAATGCGCGCAGCACCCAAAAAAATAAATAATAATAATGGAAGAAGCCGCAGCTAGCCGGTGTACAGGGAGAATTCGTTGTAAACACAAAAAAGAAGTCAGAGGGAAAGAAGTGAAGCAACCAGCGGCGGATCATCCACGCCATCGGTTATTGGCCCGCCCGTGACATGAGCAGTGTCTCGCACTCCACCACCACCACCGCGCTTATAAAATGAAAAAGAAAGAAATATTGTACTGTACTGAACGTGAAAAGAGGACAAGCCAGAAAGAGAGAGAAACAGACATACAGACAGAGGAAGCAACCGCAACGCGGGCTCGCGCGGCGTAGGACAGGGTGGGAAGGCGAGAAACATTCACAGCCAGCCAAAAGCCAGCACCAACCGACCCAAGCGACGCTTTCCCCACGAAATGTCCCTGTCCCACATCCGCAGCGCATTGAAGCTCCGCTCTGCCCCTTTCCGTCGCGCCTAGGCGCTCGCTACATCTTGCGCGTCAATGTGCATTACCTACCATCGATTGAATCCCATTCAAAGTGATCCAATCCTCCTCCGTCACTGAGAACCCGCAGTAAACGGACACAAATAATCATTTCGGACGCGATTCTCCCAAGGATGGACACGCGCGCATAGACGGACAAAAGTCGAACAACTATTCTACTACAGTACTAACAATAAGTACTGTACTAACAAAACCATGGCCAAAAAATTACAATGCGGTCTATGAAACAAAAGCCCCAGATTGTCCAAACCACCTCAGATTTAAAAAAAATTCCCGTTTAAACTTCATTGCAAAATTTGTTCAGGACTCTAATCAAATTTACAGGAACCCTTGCCCTTCTTGAACATATTTGTTCTGGCCTCCTAATAGGAGGTCTTGGGAGAACATACTCCAGCATGATTCATGGCACATATTAAGGTCAACGTGCATATGAATTTTGGTTAGAATGTTGCTATTCCCTTAACAATGGCTGCCCTGGATACATTTAGAGGTCGGAATTAATTACAATCGCTGATCAATTGTTCACAATATCCGCAAAATATCGGTAATTTTACATACACAAAAACGTTCCATTCAGTTGAGAAACCACAAGCTTTTGGCCAAGGAGCAACGAAGAATGAATGGCCATCTAACGAACAAACCAGTGTTTTAAAAACATCAGGCACGGTACTTGCGGAGCGACCGCAAACTTTTACCGGCCTAACCGGATGCAGTCGGGTGAATGCGTCATTTTATTCCGAACAGATGCATCCTAAGGTGTGTTACATTGTAGGTAGGTGAAACATTGGTGAGGGGGCCTTAATCGCACATAGACGGCAGCTGCCCGAGAGGGACTCGCGTTCACTTGCTTGCTCGCTTCTTTCCTTCTTTCAGTCTCCCTTTCCTTCGTTCGCTAGGCGCGAGCCACTTATTCTATCCGTCCCTTGTTCCCCTCGCCGCGTCTGAGGGCTCATGCGTGCGACGCGGTGCTAACGGCCCCGCGGCTCATATCCGAACCGAGGGAACCGACGGCGAGGACAGGGTTGCCGGGTTCGAGGAATTCTCCCGGTTGAAACCCTGCACGGTTCTCGCGGCTATTTTCCTCCCCCCCTCCTTACGCTCAACAACCCACCGCGTAATGCTCAACTTGGCCCGACGGAGACAACGACTTCATACCGCGGGGCTCAATCAACAGTTCCCGCGGACTTGACTTTTACCACGAAGTACTGTGCACTCCCCGTCATTTCGTACACTTAGAAAAAAGTTGATAAATCAATAGATTCGCAGTTCACATATAAACATACGAAACGAAGAATTCACTCGAAACAATTGATATTGGAGTAGGATTTTCAGTTCATAAGACACTTTTACAATTGGAATTCCAGCTATAAATCCTTCAGATAGTGCAGAAAATCGTGATTAAGATTCAAAAGGCCTCTTCCGATTGTGAACGTACATAAAATTAGAGCGCGTCTTGGTATGTATTCACAAACAAATTGGAATTCCCTTTTCAGACACACACAAAAAAGTGCGTATTGAATCCGATTAGATGAGGTATACTTATCAATAAACCATGAAGTCTTCAACTCCGTTCCACGCGAATCTTTACATGACTTTTTCACACAATTTCAGGGCTGATTAAATACATAACTGTTTACAAAAGCCTGAAAGAGATTTCTTGCCTTCAATTTCCCCATCCTACCGAATTTAAGTTTCCAAAATTAAGCAGTATTGAGTTTTGGTTCAAATAAATTTAATTTAAGGTGCGTCTTCGAATGAATAATATCTTATCTTTAACATTTCCCGTACGTAGTTTCAGAAAATGGTTACCCAACAAACGAATCAAATCTTCTAAACATCATCCCGCCATTACTCAAGATAGATTCAACCCGTGGCCTCCATTCGATAAGGAAAGCTGAATAAATCAATTGTCACATTCTTCTGCGAAAAACACGAGAGAGAATACTACAGTACTTATTCTCAATGGTCACAGGTATTTTCGGAGAGGAGAGCCATCTTTCGAAGATTGGTTCACGGAACTTAGTTACGATTATCGAACATGAAGCGTAGTGTACCGTACTTGACTTCTCTCGAGATATGCAAAAAAAGAAAAGAACCTCAGAGGTGCAGTAGAACTTATGTTTCGACCCCTCCAACTACACGCGCGGTCCAGATTTGAGGGTCACACTCCTTCAAAATCTTGAGGAGAAAAACGGAATGGCAGCATCAACGCGGAGTCACTACGTCCTCTGCAAACAAGCTCTTACTCAATTTCGAAAATACTGAGCCGCAAATCAAAACGACAACTCTGTTCAAACAAAAAAAGGGCCACAATGGCGCAACAGTCAATATCAGAAGATATATACAGAGAAAAATACGCGGCATAAAAAGTTCATTTCCAGCAACGCATTCTCCCTGTAGCAACAATAACTCACGCGACCTCGCCACTCGCGCGCATGCGGCAACCCTGTCGGGAAATACTGTATTTTCCCTTGTGTACTTCAGGCAGCGCGCATCCTTACCAACCCATCGTAATACAGTAACACTGTATGACCATCCGCCCCAAATGCATTTAAATCGGAGAAAAAAAAAATACATAATCGGTATCCGGAATTCGCAGAAATTCTTTCGACTTGTCAACTTTGAAAGCATTAATGAAAATCTCGTTAAGGCCTCACCTCAGGTATAAATGTTTCAGCGCGACAGCACCATTTGCGCAGTCCTTCCATCCCAGGAAGTTGGGTAAGAAGTCACTCCACTCGTTGGTATGGTTAACCTGCGAAGAAATACACAGAATATATCAAGTGGCGGCACGCGATATCAAAACTCTCCTGAGGTCCGGTCAGGTCAACGCAGGTCACAGAGCGAGAAAGGGAAAAAAAAGGTGGAAGAGGAAGGAAGTGAGACTGTACCAAAGAGGATCACAGCAACCTCGCCAGGGGTAAGTATCAGCTGGCGGCTAGTTTTTTCTCTCTCTCTCTCTCTCTCTCTCTCTCTCTCTCTCTTCTTTCTTTCTCATAGTCCAATTCTTCGATGCGGCGCGACGAGCTGACACGGTGAACTACTGTACGCACTATGCCGGCATCGTTTCTTTCCTTTACTTATTTCTCGCAAAAGCCCCCTCCCCCCACACTTGTCCCGTCGCTCCTGGTTCGACACCAGAAACGGGTAGCACACATAAGTCGACCCATCTTCTGCAATTTGCACGATTACCTTCTTTTCAAAGGTCAGTTTGACAAAGGTAGCAAAAAGACCAACCCAACACGTAATTACCGCGGCAGGACCAATTTTAACTCAACCTGGAACTACTTCCGAGGCAAATGTCATCTCAGTCTTTGGAAACATTTGAGTTACTAGTCATTTTTGCTCGTTACGAGAATGAGACAGGACATGTCATGAGGAGATGGAGCAAACTGTACCTTCAATATCAATTTGGTAAATGTGATGGCGAACTGTTGGACCATGGTGGACCGTTAGACATCAACAGTTCAACAAAATCCCCAAGCCAAAATGCTTTCCTGTCCAGTCATCCCAATTTATAACACACTCTTGCCAAAAAATGCATCCTGAACCATCCTGATATTGGTACAGTATGTATGTTTAAATTACTTATCTGGGCCAGACAATCTAGAATGTAAGCATATTGGTCAGACCTATCCTAACTACACTCGAACTTCTCTCAGGCCTATTTTTATTAAATTCCCTATCCGACTTTCCCTTAAAAAATGCATCAAAACCCAACTCCCAAACTCAAGAGCTTCTCTTCTCAAACCTCTAAAATTCATTTCTAAAAGGCCTTTAGCCCATCATTTTTGTGATCCAGGAAAGAGGAAGGCAATAAAAATGTAACTTGAAAGAGGAATTGAAAAACTAATTGGGCAGATGAACCCTTGTCTCCAAGTTCAACTTGACTTTTTTACAGAGCAGTTTTGGGCCGAATAATTCGATGAAGTACCACTAATATCAACTTCCATTAATTTTTAAAGGCAAAAATGGTAGTTTCCCACACTCGATTTTTTTTTTCGAAAAATTCGACTTGAAGAGATTCAACTGAACAATGCTGTACTCTGACGATTTCCACAAGCAAAAGAGGGATTTCAGCGCTCCAGGATTACATGCGTTCATTACCATGCAGTACCTTCCAAAAGGCGAATGAATGCACGATCTCGCACCAATCGCTAAAAAGTAAAAGGATTTCAAATTTACATTCCCAATCACTGCCCGTTATTGATCAACTTCCCATCTTCAGAATCCGAAGGCCTCGACTGCACATTTTGCCAACAAGGACTAACCTTGAATTTATTTGTTCCTTCTCAAGGGAAACATTCTTTTCACTTTTGGTCATTGATGGAAATACTCGAGATCAACGCCCTCGGCCAAAATTGTGTCGGAAGTACGAAGTAGATAGTAGAAGACAGAATTGATAGGCGAGCGCACAGGAATGGAAGAGGGTGTCCGGGGAGCAGACTTAACCCTGACCGTGAAAAAAACCCCGATGTTCCCAAAAAGAAAGCGCGAAACAGCAGGGAAGAAGCATGAGCTGCACATGCCGGCGGATTTCGCTTTTCGACGCGTTTCCGCGACACACTCCCTCTTCTATCGCATGAGCAACATGAATCAACGTCAAAGAATGCAACTGGTATCAAGAAATTCGATCAGAAACTTCAATAATTTACTTAGAAATTACTTTCGAGCAGTACATTCGGCCAACACACCGTATAGCATTATGCTGCACATGCCGATTCTGAGATTTGTCTGCGGTAGCAAAACGAGTGAAGTGCAACTCACGGTTATCTGAGCCTTCAATAAACAGCCCGAATTCCGATTCGCAGCAGCCAACTTTTGTTGATTTAGTTACCTTATACAACTTCGGAAGTCCTATTGTCTGGGCAAATTACCATAATACCCGTCAAGGCTAACGGAAACGTATTCATGCAGCTAGACACAATACAATAACTTAATCTCATCTAACGAATGCATTCTTCTAAGAGGTGTTGTATTATTTAATCCGGCGGTCAATCGAATTATACGAGCTGTACCCTCAAGAGGTACTTTTATTGCATAGCTACATACGAGTACGAAAACTAGCGACCTAAATCAATTGGTTATTTCGATTCGAGGCCGAACAAATCGATACAGAAAGTCATGCAGGGGTAAAATATCCCAGTAATATTTCATTCTGCAACAGAGTGTAATCCACTGTGTACATCTCATATCAACGACTACAGCCCCAAAAATGCACTACAGCAGTTACACTCAGATTCACAGTATGTAAATTACACAACTCAGAAGTCAGTCACATAGCTTCAAGAGAGCATATTTCACTTGAGAGAGGGTTCCGTTTGGGTTTCGAAAATAGAACCGCACAATTTCATGGACAAAAATGCTAGCCTTCTCTGTGCGTAGCTCACCCGAATTTTACGTTGAGCCAATCTCACTTGCGTGAAGTTTAAAATTTCATAATGACAAAAGAGCAATAGCACGAGAGCAGCACAATACTGTAGTACACATGGAAAAGCTTACCTTTTCGTAACCACCACGGCTGGAAACGAGACTGAAAAGCAGATACAAATCCACTTCCTTCCCATTGATTCTCGGCGCACGCGGAATCGGAGTCCTGCACACATCCGAAAAAAAGCCCATCAAGCATCCAGACGAACAATCACGAACAATTCTAATAAATACCCTCGCGACTGATGAAAACTCCTCAAGGTGCGGATGAACTCCCGACGCTCACGATCGTAAGTATCGGGATCTTTGTTCAGCACCTCTGACATATCGTTCGCCTTCTGATATTCCTCACGTCACGATGAACTACAACATTCGGCGATGAACGAGACGCGCGGTTCTATCACAGCTTTTCACGCGAGGACGGGTTGATCGTCATCACCGTCGATCGTCGGCAGTTCACACTTCGTTTTTCATCCGGCACATCTTCCGACAACAGACGTCCCGTACGAGGACTCCATGGTCAAATACTGTGGCGTTTGCAACAAACCGACAGTCATCCTCACGTAGAAACACTTCAATACCTTAATGTACACTCGAAATACACTGTCGCACAAAGAAGTCTCCCGGGAAAAACCCTATAGAATATTCACTCAATGATTTCCTGGATGATCTTTGAGCTCTGTGAAATTCCGCGTTTCACGAATTCAACAAGAAACGGGCACCGAAATACCCAACACTGATACGGCTTCATTTGTGTTGAGATTCAAGTTGCATTGAAATAGATCGGACGGAACAAAATTTGGAACACCTCGGCCCAGCCATAGCGGCCGCAGAGCGAAAACATATCTTTTCCCCGGCTAGCCGTACCCTAAGCTCGGCGCAGTACAATCTAAACAAGATAAAATATTCGCGCATTGAATTCCACAAGATCGTGAACCAGATATCCGCGGAATTCGAAATTCTCAAGAAAAAGCTCCACGACGAGAGCAACATCGGCCCAGTCATTGACAACATTCTCGCGCAACCAACCAAAACGCATCCACCAGTACCATCAACAACGCTGTAATTCGTAACAACACGACGCGGTGAATATTCCACCCGCTTCGGTAGAGACGCGCTCCCAACGCACACTCCCTGCGCTACCGAGGCTCCGAATGGTCGCTGCTGAGATCGAAATGGTGGCAGCAGAGAAAGATGAGAGACTATGCGAGGGAGGGTGGCGCTATTCCATTTTCGGTGACCTACGCGCGTACCTCATGCACGAATGACATCTATCACCAGAAAATCCAACCAACCATCCCGGTTATTTCTCGGTTCGGTAATTTTTAACATAAAACAAAATTAAATTATCTCCCTCAACACTGATAACGAGCAAGACTGCACTCTCAAATAATCACCAGCCTAATCCTCGCAAAATCGTCGTACTGCAAACAGCAATATGCACTGCTTTGTTTCGCGGTGATTCCAAAATCCATGCCTGTTATTGTACATAAAAAAGTATGCTTAGTCACAAACGAAGATTCCGAAGAAATATACGATGAATTGTACTGCCCAAAGAATACCTGCGGAAAACAGGCGTAAAATTTTGGATAGTGTATAATATATGAATAATTATAAATGCAAGAGATTCCACTTTATAAGTTGTTTCTCTTCATCTATTCTTCTGAAGAAGTCACACAGTTTTGAACTAAACTGATCGCGGAGCGCCGCTTTTCCATCAAAGCGATATATCCATACTGTATATACCGTAATGCTGCGTTAATTACCAAGTTCAGTACAGTACTTTTTGTCCCCTTCAACTGCCGAACGGGAGGTGCAGACGGGCAGGGTTGTTGAATGTGGGAAATCAACGTACAGTACAGCGTACGTCTTCAATACAATACTGTACTAGGAATACTGTACATCGGCTCTCCCGTTAAGATTGGTTTTGCATGGTCGGATGTCACTGCTTCAATGGTTAAATTCTGGTTTATTTCATTGGGTTTTAGATGGCGCGAATGAGTGCAGTCATGGCGGCGCACTCTATGATAAAGTGGTATAGCGCCGGGAGGGTTGCCAAACAGGTGCCCCTTTTGCCGCGGACCCGGAGATTGCGTGGCATTCGAGAATTACGTTCTGTGTCTTACGAGCGTGTGATCTGTGCTGTTATCACAAAATGTGGCGACGTCCATGGAAACCCCGATCGGATTTAGTGAAATATAAGTCTGCGCAGGGGCAGTCCTGAATTTACCGGTGAAAAATGAATCCCAGATATTCCTGTTTAACGTGGGTGTTGTGTTTGCTTTTAAGATTTTCGTGTTTGGTGCGATTGAACCTCACCAACGAGCTAATGCTGAGCGCTCGTAAATGCACGAGAAAGCTGAGACTCGCAGTTCAGTGTCAGAAAATGGATTCCTCCCGAATGATGAACTTTCGAAGTCAACGGAACCCTTTTCCTGGGCGGATAAAATGGTTCACTTATGTTTTGAAAAATTGAATCAGCCTGCGGTGCCCATGGCAAATGATCCCTTAGCATTTAATGAGAGCCATGAAGTTCCGCATCGAATCGTTGGACCACGGAAACGGACTCGCTTTTTCGATGTAAGTTTGAGCTTCCATGATTAAATGAAAGAGTTAGGGCATATCTGATGAACATTGGTAATTCGCCGAATTTTGTGCAGTTTATCAAGGACGAATGCACCGAAGCCCTACCGGAAATTCTGCAGCGCCTTGTGGAAGAGGAAAATCTTTGCACTCTGATCGTCAATTTATATGCAGGAGAGCGAGGGTACGGCGTCGGGATACAAGCCCCGAATGGAGAAGAAATTGAAGCCTTATCCCTCAATTATGACGAACACGAGCTTCTCGACTGTATCGATCAGGAGGAGATCCCCTATATGCTTTACGATTTACTCGAGCCACTGGAAAATTTATTTTGTGCTGGTCGCATAGTCTGTCAAGTTAGAGACTACCGGGACGAACTGAAGACGGTCCGATGGGTACTGTTGCAGCCGACATGCATGGTGAACTGCATTCATTGCAAATTTATTCTTTCCCTCTGGTTGAATGTTTTTTGTTGTTTTCAGACTATGGCCATGGACGTAAGAATGCTGACGGCAAACACGGATATGACCGAAGATCAAAGAGCTCAACTGGAGAGTGAAATTATCATGGCACAAAGTGAACCGCTTTATTTGGAGCCCGTTGTGAAGCGAGATAAGCAACGGGGTCAGGAAAGTCTTACACCAATGGATTTCATCCGCAGAGATCGTTTGTACAGGAAAATGTGCAAGGAAATGTCGTACGCTGCTCAAATTCGCCTCCGGAAATTTCTCGAACACGAAGACGCTTATCCTCATCGGCCCTTGACAAAAAGAATATTGGACGCGAAGGCGAAATGCGTTTCGAAAAAGAAAAGGAAAGTTAGTGCTAATACTTTACAAGAGCTGGTTGCTGTTCAAGCGAAACTATTCCCCGCTCCTGCTGTTGTTCAGCTGGTAAATTTTTTATTGTTTCAAGCTTTGTGTGTGTGTGTTCAGATCGATTGAGAAATGGATGTTCTTTACTTCATATTAGCCGGAAACCAAAGACGCTGTTTCGACGACAGACAAAACCTACTTCACTGAAGACGTGAAGGAGCGTTCGAAGAAGGGTGGTGAACACCGACCGGCGCCTGTTGAGGTAGATCCTGATTTTTCGCTGCGAAACATCGAAGAATACCTTTTGGAGCCTGAGCCGGCGGGATGCAGAATCGAATCTCGATGGTTTTCGGACCCAATTACGATTGGTGGTAGAGAACCAGGTTCTGGGCGCGTTGTCATTCGTTTGGTCGTCAAACGGAGGATCGCTGACGAAGTTTATTTTGTTGAAATGACCACGAACACCAATTTGCCGACAGGATGGGCGACGACCAAAACGGAGTGAGTGTCGAATGGAACTTTTTTGAGTTTAGCTTGTGCTAAAGATTCGTATTCAGGTTGAGATTTGCAACCCGTGATGAGCTCAATCGTCACCTGGTGGAATTCGGCGACGTTTTTACGGATAAAGGGAGAAAGTCTGTGAAGATCGCAGTCGTGGATACGAACGGGAAAGTCAAGATTTCTTTGTCCTCGGCGGCCAAGTACAGGGTACACGAGGTCTCTGCCCAAGAACAGCTGGCCTTGCGACAACAGCAGCAGCAAATGCAAGTGGCCCAACAAACAATGCAAGTTCTTATCCCAGATTCTTCGAAAGAGCAAATACCATTGGGCATTAAGACGGCTGCTCGTGGAACGCGATCTGTTTCGTCTGAAGCGCCGAGTGGGGCTCTTTATTCCTCATCTGGACTGACGGTGCTTACTGCAGTGAACAACGTTTCTCACCAAGCAGTTGTGAGTTTTGGGTGGATTTGAGCTTGATTCTGTTTCTTGAACTAGAAATAAGCTGTTCTGCTTATCTGAAACGCCCTGTCATGTGTGGGTCACTTCTCAAAAATAGTGTAGTAAGGGTATTGGTTGGAACGTGCTGGTAGTCGATTTTCGAGCAGTTTCGTTGTGTCTCCTTGAGCGGTATGCTTCGCAAAGAAAAACTGCTTGTGACCCCTTTGATATGCGAGCAAGAAGTATGAATATTGTACTTGAATTGAAGAGAAACAAAAAAATGTTCGGATTTGTATCCCTGATTTCATGTTTTTAGTTTTCAAGTTTGTATCATGCTGTGAGCTTCGATTATCAATTATGAATTGCGGTATTAATAATTTTATTAAATGTTGAACGTGCTTAAATCTTGTTTAAGAACTTATGATTTTTTTTTGCATCTAAAATCCATCGTAATTATTTTTGTGAATCAGACTCGGAAAAGAAACCTTATTTGATTCGCGTGAATTTTTGAATAAAAAATTACTTTTTCATACTTCAGGGGGATTCAAGTCAAGGGATAGGGAAGAAAGCGACGACAGTTTCAATTCCGATCGGTCACCCGTCCTTGAGTAGTTTGCTGTCCAGTGCACCTGCTGGAACCCAGGTTTTACAAATAACACGAGGGAAAAACTCTTCTACAGCTTCCGGCGCCACCGTCATTTCATCAGCAAATCTGGCCAGCATCGTCTCTGGTGGTCAGTTGTGATTTGAATACGTATTTTTTCAATGTTCTGTTTCCATGCATGAATGATGCAGTAATCCTCCGTTTTTTATTGCTGTAATTTCATTAAGCTTTTTAGTGACTGTGTCAGTTTCCGTAGAATCATACTGATGTTTCTAATTTTTTTGCTGATACAGTATGTAAAACCAGATGGTTTTTTTAAATTTTTTTGTTCGGAATTCTCAGAATTTTGTTTTCAGTTTGATTACTAGGATTTTTTTCAGGTATGATGAAATATTTTTCCATGGTACTAAGAAATATACGTTATACAGTATATTTTTGTTGCAAATCTTGTGCCTTTTGATTCCTGAAGCTGGAGGAACGGAAGGTATTCGTGTCCATCAGACGCCCATCAGCCAGTCATCGGCCCTGTTGTCGTCGCTGCAGGCCCCAGCCAAATCCGTGGGTACAAACGCCGGAACGTCAACGAACATCGTGATCAACGCGCAGACGCAGCAGTCGACCCTGTCTACCTTGTTGGCAAAGAATCCGACGGCCACCAGTGTGGCAGTGGTGTCGTGCGTGCCGTCGGGAGCGACGGTGCAGCATGTGACCATGAGCACTGCGCAGTTACTATCTTCCAAGGTACGGCCGAAGCACCAGACGCAGCAGGGCATAACTGGCGGTGCTGTTTTGCAGCGCGGCGCCACATTGAGTGTCAGCGGAAGTGGGACGCAGACCTTCAGTTTGCAGACGAGTTCCACGGGCCAGCATATTGTTTTCAACAAGGTAGTGTGTGGATATTTCCTGTAGCGTATATGGGTTTACACAGATATATCGTATACTGTACACGTAATTTTTTGTGTTGGAAGAATTCGATGGTTCAACTTTCTGGCTATTGAAAACTATTGGACCCAATTGTAGTCGGTTTTTGATTTCACGATGTAGAATCGTGTTTTGCGGGTGAATCGACAACGCTTTGCTTGATATTATTAGATAAAACTCCTATTGAAGAATGTATGGCGATGTCGAGATTATTATAAGGATTAACCGAAGATTTATGCAGTGAAGAAGTAAGTAAAAAATCGAATCCTGTATTAGCTGCTCATGCGCTTGGCTGTACGTCGTTAAGATTTTTTTGGGCATTCGATTCCAAATTCAAATTTATGCTCATGTTCTACCTGGACATTTCAGCCGACAATCGTCTCGAGTTCCTCGTCTGTATTGTCGAAGGCACTTGCCGGAAGTGTTTCCTCGGTGGTCCCTCAAGTCATTCGATCTCAGGCCTTGGCGTCATCTGGATCCGTGAGTTTACTGTTTGTTTAATACTTGTTCGATTTCAGTTTGTCTTAAGTCCGAATTTTACGTTTGAATAATGTTCATTCCGAGAGCCTGAATTTCTCCGCGTGCCCTGCGAAAGACACCTCACAATGTTTATTTATTCATTCATTTATTTATTTTTTGAAAGTTTTTCATTTTATCGTGTTCTGTTTAGTTACCATCGTATACACAAGCTATTGCTCAAGTTGGAACTTCCAGGCCGAGTGGAATCGCGTCTGGGCAACAACCGACTATTGCGATCCGAATCGCGCCCCAGCAAGGCAATCAACAGCATCAGCTTGTTCAGCAAATTATTGCGGCGCATCCGCAACCATCAACGTCCGTCCTGCAACAGAAGTTGACTGAGGCGCCTTCACCGCGTCGGAACGCCGCCGACTTGCCAGCTTCTAATCCTAGTCTTACTGCTCTTTTGGCAGGTTTGTGGATTGCATACGTAGTTGAATGAAAACGCGTCAAAGTACTTCGAGATTACGTGGTTTTGAGAAGAAAAATTAATTTTCTCTGCGTCGATGTCAAATTTTTTGTGCTCGGTTTCCATGGGTAACGTCATTATCGGCACACGCACTCTAGATTTTGTGTGATCTTGTGTAAATGTCGCCTGAATCGAATCCAGTTTCGTTGTGTTGTGTGATTATGTTTTGGGTTAGATTAGATTCGTCTAATGTAGGTGATTCTAGGATTTCTTGGATTACTGTAGTTCGATTTTATTGGAATCGATGGACGGGCAAAGGAGTAAAGAGATTTTTTTTAAGTTGAAATATTCATGAAAAATATTTTGACCCTTTTTTTTTCTCGATATCTATGAAGGAACGCCGTGTGCTGAAAATCCGCGACCGCCGACAGGAAGTAACAACATACCTGTGGCAGTGGTGTCTCCGACGGTGCAAGGCAGTCCGGTGGCGGTGATCCAGTCGTCGCCCCAACGGCAGCACTTGCAGACGTCGTCGCCGCAAGTGACCCACGAAGTCCCGATGAATGCTTCAACGTTGACTCTCAAAAGCCACACGCCCGTCAATTTCAACGTGATCTCTGGCGTTTCCGCTTTGCAGAATGTGAGATTTCCTTTCCCTTCAATTGTTTTTATTTTGTTTAGGCTTCGATATGTGTAAGACTTCGGGCCTCAAACGTGTCTTCGTACTCGCAGCACAAGTTATTTGTGTTGAAAATTCTGTAGCCTTATTAGTTCGAAATGCTTCTGGTGTTGAACTAACATTTTTTGCCTGTATAAGTCTCGTGCTTCTGAAACTTCCAGAGCAAACATTTCCCCCTCGTGAATGTAAATGCTGTATTTCTCAACAACAGCTACTCAGCGACAATTACGGTAGTTAATATACCGTACTTTATTTACCATCAAGTATCGTGACTGTTCTGAAAATGTCTTCGGCGATAACGCGTACATAAGAAAGAGCTGATGTGTGTTTAATTATGTGAATTTTTGCAATTGAAGGATCCGAAGAGGAACATGCAGTATGCAGTCCTCTTAAATTTGTCTTGCTTTTTTTTTTTTTAGATGTCTTTATCAAATGGGATGCCAGTGTCAGGATTTCCAGTGACCCTGAATATCGGTGGATCGACGAGCGGAGGGATGATTGCCGTGCCAATTCAGGCCAGTGACGGTGGGACGGCCAACGTCATTTTGGACGCGTCAGGAAATGCTTCCATTGGCAACTTCGTTTCCGTGGCTTCTGTTGCGGGGCTGCAGCAGTCTTCCGGTTCAGCCCTCATCACCGGAATCGGTGGACGTCAGTCGCTGGTTCCTCTGTCGATACAAAGATGTGAGTCGAGTCGACGCTCGGGAATCCCCCATTTTCTGTGTAAACTTTTGATGTTGTGTCTGGAAGTGGCCCATGTGCTTAAACGCATTTTACCTAAATCATTCCGAAGTATTTTATTTTCGTCCATCTATGTTTATTTTTTCTAAAAAAAATCCTCAAGAAATCCCTTTTCTCTGACTTTTTTTAAACATTTTTATTGAGTTATTCAGGATCCTCTTGTAATGAGCTTTTACCTTAATTCGTTTGTTAAATACAGCTGGAGATAAACCGTTGACTGCACAAGTGCTCACGTCGACGTCGATCCCGTGCGGAGTGGCGAGAGGAAACGGACCGAACACGATTTCTTTACTGCAGGTCAGTTCGTCAGAATTGGTTTTACATCGTAATGCCAGAAAGGATTTCTCGGGTGGCATGCAATCCTGACGTCATTTCGGTCATCGTCGTCACGATTTTTGATTTTTGCTTGGAGTGAGCCTTCATGTCTGTCCTTGTTTGAGTTGGTTTCGAGTTCATTTTTCCATTAGTCTGAGACTTGCATGCATTGCCGAGGATCGAAAGATCTTCCTTTCCCACGGCCAGTCGGTTATTTATTTATTTATTTTTTAATAATGTCACCAAACGTCTCTCTGTTAAGCACCATGCTCACAGTCTGTTCAATAGACCTTGACTAATGAATCTGTTTTCACGCATCAAGCTAAACGTTTTCATGAAAATGGTTATACTGATATATATTTTTCGTTATGTTCATGAGTTTATTTCGATTGATGTAAACTTGAATTTGTATCGTACATGAAACTACTGGCTACGTTTTCTTACAAGAGAAATTCATTTTTTGTTCGTGAACGGCATTGAGCATGCATTTCGTTCTACGAAGTGATTTGGGGATTGATTTGACCTTAGCTTCGAACGTCTGTGCATGGCCTATGTTTGCATGTGTTAGTAACAATATTGATGCATGACTGATTGAAGACGAATTATTTCACTACGCGCGTGTTTCTGAAGAGCGCAACACGCTTTATCTCTGCTCCGCCATGAGTTTTTTTTAATATTTTTCCCCTCAAAAATCAATTTGCGCACTTGGCGAAGGATACTTTTATTATGAAATTTTAACCATGTCCGGGATGTGTAGCCCTGTTGAAAATTCAAGGACAAATGGAATAAAAATTTCATGCAGAATTCTATTGAATTTTCAAAACTTTAAGCGTTGTATGTGAATTTTTAATATCTGTAATGTTCTTGTGTTTCGTTTTTTTTTCATGATTAACTCGTAATTATGTTCCAGTCGCCGTTTCAAAAATTACCAGTCGGACGAATTCTTCGTGGAAGCGGTAAACTTTTCCTATCCACGGAATGTTATCCTAAATTTCAATTGGTCTTCAAGTCCTGTCATTTTTTGTAAACTTCCTTAGCTCTTCTGACACCCTTTAGTCCATGCCTAATTGTCAGAAAAGTTGCTAATGTTAAAAGAAATGTTTGAGAAATCCCAGACTTAGTGGATTGGTTTCAACACTTCTTTAACGTTACGTGAACGTGAAATAAGCAAAAACTCCATGATGTACCTGTGTTTTGAAATAGATTAACTCTCTCAAGTCCAGTTTTTTTCGTGTTTTTGTGTCGTTTATTATTTCTCATTATCACAGTTCGAAGATTCAGAAAATGTAATGTTATTTGAAATGACGGGAATGAAAAATGTAAAGATTTTCTGACGTACCTCTACCGAACGCTTATTGTACAGCATTTTTTTTTAGTAATGCGGAAGTCACAGATTCGGTGATTTTCGGTTTCCGAAATTTTCTTGTGAATGGTGATTGCAATTCTGCGAAGTGCTCTGTTACCACCTTAGTAAAAGAAAGTTAAAGTTTTCTCCAAAGCACTTGAAAAATAATTTTCTGGTGGTTCGGCCTTTTTTTTTTTCTGTGCGACGCTAGTATTCTTTAAACAGTAAAATCTCGTTGCAACGAACTTCCAGTGACGTGATTAAAATGCATCATAACAAAACAGTCTTCTTATCAGTATTCGTGGTTTTGAACACTTTCTGGGCAGAAATTTTTTGAGAAATGGGTAATTGATAGTTTAAAGTGCTTTTAAAACAAATAATTCAAGACCAGTCTTAATTTCGAGGTCTCTGATGGAATGCAATTTTTTAAATTTATAGTTCTGCACAGCACTTTCTTTTATTGAATCTGCTTATTTTCTGAAATGCTTCTTGTCTGGAACAATGAAAAGAAACAAAAGTACTTATTAGAGAAATACTTCCTTCCAAATAAAATTATCCATTCAAACCTGTTCTTTTTTTCAAGTAGAGGGAAATTGTTACTGACATGCTGTTTATTTTAGAGAAAGGTAGACATTCTGAAATGGAGCTAAAGAATTTCCAAGAAAAATGTCATGTTACATAATTTTTGAAGACAAAATTTTCTTCAGAGAAAGTTTTTTTTCTTTTGATGTAGTTCAAATGCTGCACCAGTTGAGTTTTTCTTCAATATTCCAGCATTTATCAAATTATTCCATGTGGCCTACGCAGCACTGAATTATGGCCAACAAATTTATATACTGTACCAAGATTTCAGCTTCAAATGAATTCGTTAAAACTAGATTTTTATAACACTGCGTCTAAGGAGAATATCCGGGGGCAAAGAAAAAATTCGTTATAGCGTGATTCGTTGTAACGGAATTTTGCTGGATACAAAAAAAAGTGGTTAAACGAGAGAACAAAAGATTATCGGAATGATGAGGGTTGCGTGTCGCCGATTGACAGCGGGATGCGGTGAGTGGGGGTTTCGCAGGTCACCAGACGATTCAAATGCGAGCCCACGCCCAGCAGCGCGGCATTGGCTTGAGCGGAAGTCCCACGCTAACGACCCAACTCGGTCACCACTCGGTCAGCCGCATGTCGTCGCCGTCCAATCCGCCCACGCAAGGTTTGTTTCTTCCCAAGCTTCGACCGATCGACTGTTTTTCTCTTTACTGGATTGAGAAGCGGTGAGAGGCGAGACGGAGGGCAGAAGTGTGAATTCCGACTCGGGATTGAGACCAAATGGAATAAGTTGATGTTCTTACGCTCGAAAAAAATACCTGTCATTTCTTTTGACGTATTCTCGGTGGAAGAAGTTTTGAAGGAGTTTCTTCTTTTTGCATTGATTTGGTCGGTTCATGACGCATCATGAGAAACATGCCTTCCTTCTATGAATCGTTTTTATATGTTCGGTAGTCAGTATTCGTAGAGGATGACTGTGGAATGCAACGTTAGTGTTTCGTATCCATTTTTGCTGTTGATCTATGATGATGATGATGATTTGCGCTAATGGAAATAATGGAAGAAAGTCTGGGAATTTTTCAGGTGCCCTATCGGCTGTTCAGACCTCAATTTCCTCCAAGATCCTAGGAGCGCTTTCGCCTCAAGAGGAGGTGAAGAATTCTATTTTTATAGACTTTCATCCAACTTGACGTGTATGTATACAGCGAATCCTGTTGATGAATTTTCACCATCTGATGTTTTTTTCTTATCTTGTTCGAATTCTGCGATTACTTTTATCGCAACGTTAATTTTAGAAAATTTATGAGTAATTGTCAAGTCAGGAAAGCCTTCACATATCAATTTAAAAACCTTTCTTCTCAAAATTGAGATGGAAAAATAGGTGTTCGTCAGGGGCCAGGGATACAATTTAAAAAGGTTCAAGGTTTAGGTGTGCGTCAAACTTGGATACAATGGAACAATTTTACTTTTCAAAATGAAAACAATTGAAAGTTATTTAAATCTTTTTCCGAGTTTGAATTCTCGTGTCTTGTACTTTTGAATTACTGTATTTATTTGAGTACCACGCGCATCTTTTTCTTAAAATTAAGAGAAGAAAAAGGGTTGTGCATCGTAGGTGGATATACAGTACATGAAAATTTTTTAGAAACGTATGCGTGCATCATGTTTCATTCTAATGTGAAATTTTGGACAAATTTCGATAGAAAAACTTATACAGTAGTAATAGAAAATAATCGGAAATCAATTCAATTAATGTCTGTATAGTATTCAAATTTGGGTGCTCTTATTTTTTAAATATTGCAGCTTCAGAGGCTCTAAGAATGGGGTGAGCGTCTTACTTGGGTATACAAGTTTTTGACTGAAAAACCCTGATGCATGTCTTTCTTGAGGGCGTGTGGTATATAAGTGAATCAAGTTTCGTATTGGTCCTTTATTGATCTTTCATGAAATTTTTTTTTATTTCGAGTGCACGACATTGTTTTCTGATGAATTCCCTGACCCGAATTTGAAAGAAAAGGTTTTTCCCGCAGATGCAGTACAATCTTCAGTGTCAGACCTCCGCCGGACATCATCGACAAACGCAGTGAGGCAGCCGAGTTTGAAGAAGGGAAATGGAACGTTGTTTTTTTCCCCCTGTTTGTTCCCCCGTTTCTTTTCTCCTGTGGTTCAGTGATTTAAATCACTCGGAACAGGCGCGAGAAAATGTGATGTGAGTCGGAATCGGTGGTAAATGTTTCGATGGTGAACGAGTGATGACGCTTCGAGTAGTGGTGATCTCGCCGAGTGTTTGGTTGTCGGACTTGCTCAATATGTGAGTTCATGATTTGTGTCCGCGTCTATTGTTTAATATTCCAACTTTTTTTTTTTTAAACAGCCCCTCCTCCGCCTTTCCCTCCCCTGTTCTTTTTTTTTCGGATGATTGTTCGGGTTACCAATTGCGAAGAGGCTTATTACCTGTCGAGCCTGTTTGTTGGATTTTTATGTGAAATCTCTATTGTACGAGCAATGAAGTAATCTGCGGCGTATAAACAGCGCTCTCCGCGATTTTCAGGAGAATTGTGTGTTTCTTTTTCTTGTCTGATTCAAAATTTAAGCATGTTTTATGGAATTTGTTATCTCTAAATCGCGTGAATTTGTTAGACCAGCTAAAAAGTCGAATTTAATAGGTACAACCGCTATCTAAAACGCAGAAAAGATACCGGGTGAAGCAAAAAAGAAATTCAATTTTTTTTAGCATTACCAACAAATTGTTGGCACCCTGTGACAAAGGTGGAGAACTCCGACTGTAACTGGATAGTTTTCACTTATGCAGTAAATTTTTTTTTAAATCGGAAAAAATCCCTAAACCTTGGAACATCATGATATATGTCATGAACTTTTTTTTTACTATGAAATCTACTGTAAAAGTATCTAGAAATCGCATTTAAATGGGACAGCTCTTGCATTCTTCTGGAAAGTACGGAAATTTTAGATTGGTCCATTTCGACTTTTGAACCAGCATTTGTGTCCCCTCGTCTGAAAAATCAACTTCATATGATTGGCGGTGGTAATCAAAAGTTCGCAAGATTTGAAAAATTCTTCCTTCATTTTCCCTTTCGCTGAAAATAAGAAATGACTGTGCGAAGATTTTACGCCGTGTAATAATACCCAAGTTATTGGAGCCACATAGGCGAGTAAAGCGATTTTTTGTAGAAAAAAAAACGAAAGCAAAATTTTGTTGCACGAGTCTTGGGGGTGATTTTGCTTCTCAATTTTTGGCCATCGTGGTGTTGGGGATTGGGAGGATTCTAGTAAACTGCGTTTCTGCGACGATACTGCATCACGAGACACACTGCGATGATGATGATGGGGATGAGGACCGCGATCACGATTCCGGACGTCATGGCGGCCTGCATGGCACGGTATTCCGCTTTGGCTGCAACGACAAAAAACCCAGAACAAGGCGATTAATTTTGCAAAAATACTTCTCGAGTGTTTTTGTTATTATTATTGTTTATTTTTCGACTGTTACGAGTTGCGCTGAAATCGCGCTTGAAGAAATTTAAGGGCTTTTTTTTTTTCTTTTGAAGAGAGCGCCTGGGACTCGGCCTTGTTCTGGGTTTTGCCGATATATATATATTTTCTTGTTTCTGTCCTTGATTTTTGTAAACTGAAAATGTTTTCTCCATTATTTTTTTTTTCCTTTACAGCATGGATCCTGTTCCCAGTCACTCCTTTCAAAGAAACTGTGCGCCACTGGCCTTTTTCAACAAAGCTTTAATGATCGACTTGAAAGGCAAACAATCAGTCGTTTGTTCTGCTCAGTACTTCCGTCGGGCGTGAACAAAAATACTGTATATCTAGAACACGAAAAAATCCGACCGAATTTCGTCAAACATCAAATAACTTGAAAGGTACAACTTTTCACGACTCGACAAAAATTCCACCCATTTAAGAGTTTTTAAAATACCTGCGGAATAACATCAATACTTGTTTCAAAATTTCTTCCATTTGATGTCATTCAACATCAGCGGAAGCCTAGAAATTCAAGGTCACACGTCACAGACTAAATATGCAAATCTTTCCTTGGTGGAATTTCACAGGTTCTTCTAATTCACATAAACCGGGAACACGCAGTATGAGCTGGAGAGGGTGTTAATACTACGGGATGGTGGAATAACAAACGTTGTCATTCCAGTACCAGATTATTGTCCTCAAGCCTCTCCTGGAACAAATTGGCAACAAAAAAAAATCTTCCTGCACTTCACAACATGGTACAGCCAAAAATCCTCAAAGTCTGGACATCATGGGAAATACATAAAGGTGACGTTATTCCTGAGAAAACTATTCTGCTACAATTTTAATTTGTGACAAGATTATTCCAGTCTGACAAGGTTGGGCCTGATGTCCTTATTCCAGCCATCCCAGAAATATTCAATGGGGCTCTAGGATATATATGTAATTGGTTTTTGAACCTTGTCCCAAGGTTGGATCACATTTTCCCACGTATAGACTTCAACAGAAACATATTTCATTGGTTCTCCTGCTTTTTGAAAAATTTGGAAAAATTCCCCCAAAAATTGATTTATTTTCCTAGCTCCAAGATTCAGAAAATAATGGCTCTGAAAGGAAAAACACAGAAGATCTGCCATTCTGGCATGGAAATGAGCCCAAAAGCAAAGAATAACAAGCACAAGTTTTACTACACTGTGCATAGATGATGGAAATGGCATTCTAAAAGAGAAGCATACAATTTGTCTATTCATGATTACCAATTGATTTTACCTTTATTGTGAGACTTTTTATGAATATTTAAAATTCAAAATTTGCTTAAAAGGTATAAACAGTTCTCTATTTTTCTAAAAATTTTCACAGATCCTGAAAATAGCACTTGAAAGATAAGTGAAAAATTGGGCTGTTTGGATCATCAAATAGAGTTAATTTCATGATAATATTTGTTTTAAATTTTTTGAACGTAAGAAGCACAATTTGTCATAAAGAAATGAATTTATTTTTCAATTTTTATAGAAATTTTGGAAAAGTGCCCAAATCTGGGGATATTTTCCTGACGTCGGGGCGATTTTTTTTTTCAGTTTCTAGTTGATTCGTCGCGGTGAGTTATTTGGGACCCCACTGCTCATGTAATTTAATCAAGTCCATCAAAACGTCTCCGATTCTGCGTCTTCGTCATAGTCGGTGAAATCATACATTTAAAAGAAAGTTGTAGTATACAAGTACACTAAGTATGTTTGCTGTATTTCATTTTAATTCGAAATTGTGGACCAAGTTTCACAGAAATACTTGATTTTAATGGAAGCAATTGAAAATTATTTAAATTCAGGTTCAATTGTTGCTTTAATTCAAATTTGGGTGCTTAAGTTTCGAACTACTGTATTGCAGTTTCAAAGTCACAAAAAATGTGGGACTTGGAAATGCGATTTTATTTTAAAAATTTGAAAGAAAAATCCCAGTTTGTGTCTTACTCGAGAGGGGTCGTTTTATTTGACCATTAGAAATGAAAAAAGTACTTGCTTTATTTTAATGCACTCGAATGTCACATTTCTATAGTCTCTGGCCAGAAACACAGTCGTTAACATTAAATATGCTGTATAACCATACGTAATAAAATTATAAAAATCTTTGCCACAATTTTTAGTTCACTCATAAAATCTTTTAGTATTATTTGGCAACCTTATACGATATAGACTATGGTTACTGCAAAATGATGGGCAAAATAAGCATGAGGATTATATCTTCTGCTTTCAAAGAAATTGAATGTGGTTAAAGTGCGCCTTGAATTTGCAGGAGGTTTTTTTTCATGTTTGAAACGAACAAAAAATGTCGTACGTAGCTCAAAAGAAGGTGTCCTATAAATTAAAAAAAAAAATAGGTAATCCATATTCCAGTGGGATACCAGTTATCAAATGTTCATCAACTGCTGTCGAGTAAAATGTGAAATTGTTGCGTATAGAATGACTAATTTTCTTCCAGCGCCCTCCATCAACCAGTTAATATTTAAACGTTTAAAATTTTCATTAATAATCAAATAGCTGAAAAACCTTTGACATTATATAGCTCAACAGTTTGTATATGGCATTATTAAGAAAAACCATCATCGATTGTTCCGCGCACAAATTTGGCTGTGAAAAATGTCGTGTGCGCAGTCGTGTCCTCCATCATCATCATCATCGCTGACAGGTGGCCCAATAAGTTGCTCAACACTGAACCTCACCCGTTGTCAGTTTGCAGCAGCGGCGGTGCTGGTGCCACCTTCACTGCTGCTGCTGCTGATGGCGCAGGAGCCATCGTCAGTGGTTTCCCGTACGCTGGCACCTCGACTGCGTAATTCGGCGTGTATTCGCCGTGGCGTTGTCCACTCCTCCGATAGCGCACGACGAGACACACTGCGAGCACTACGATGGGGATGAGCACAGCCAGCACGATGCCAGCCGTCATGCTGGCCTGCATGGCGCGATACTCTCTCTTTGCTGAATATATAAGCAGCAATCGGAATTTTAGGTGAGCCTCGGTTATAGCCATCAAGCCTCAAGCTGCTCAAGTTAGTATAAAAACCTCCATATATATATACAGTATACGCTTCAACATTTTCAAAATTGATTTACAAGTCCCTGTCTGATTTTTTTTTTGCGGGAAAAAAGTGCATTAAAACACTTATACCTCCCTAACCCGACAGCTTTTCCCCCCTAATGCCTCCATAACTCAAACTTTTTTTGAAACCTTAAAGTTAAATGATGTGGGGCTTCCGAAATTCTTCAGAATTGCGGCAGTGTTTTATTTGAGAGAGACTGTTTCAGTGATCAATTGTTTTGCTCAATATTACAGTAAAATTTTGTTACAACAAACTTGTGGGGACTTCAGAAAAAGTTTGTTGTAACAAATAATTTCTTATGATGAGATTTTGAAAATTATTGACTGATTAAAAGATTTTCTTCAAATTAGACCTGCATATATTCAACATCTTCCTTTTGTGGCCTTTGCAGATGTTTTTCAGTGGTTAAAAGCTGTGATGTAATTGTTAATAAAAAAAAAACAGATACTCTGAATAACAGGTAAATACTAGCACACTTTCTTGACTCCAAGTTTTTTTAAAGCAATTCCTGCAAAGATTTGCAAGGGTGAATGTGTCAAAATTACTAACAATTTTTACATCATTAGCACTTCTCAAGCATACATACCCTTTTTTACCATGAGGATTGCTGGGCTCATTTCTGACCCATCTGATTGCCCCCCCCCCCCCAATCCCACCATTATCATTCCTAACATGAGAATACTCTTTGAAAGAGAGGATTTTCAGGTGATCTTTGAAGCATTTTTGGACTTGATTCCTCCTTACATTCCAAGAACCGGTCACATTTGAAATGGGAAATGTGAGACTGTGCCTGCATCCATTATGGATTTTTCATTAAGAAATCATGGAGTGTTCCTCAAAAAAGTTTTTTATACTGGAATTGGCAGCTTGTTGTAACATTTTTATAGCATGTACCAGATTTTTATAACATGTACCCTATAGGATTTCTGCCAGGACTTGAAAAAAGTTTGTTATACTGAAAACTTTGTTGTAATGGTATTTGTTGTAACAAGATTTTACTGTACATATATCTCACATTGCTTTCTTTCTCTGCTTCTTTTTCTTTTTCAATCCGGGTTTGAGTCTGGATTTCGAAAAAAAAATTGGATGAATAGTTTTGTATCAAGGAATGCAAAGGTAAAGAGAAAAAAATATTCCGCGGTTGTATTTGATGTGAGCTTTCTTTATAATCATTGTCAGGGAACTTTGGACAACGAGCCTATCATCTTCATTGTCCGCGTATAGAAAGAAGACATTTCGCGTTGGATTCGGTTATTTTGGATAAAAGGAAAAAATAAAACTAAATTTAAATAAATACGGATCGACGACTTACGTATGCATCGGGCTTCTCCTTCTTCGGGCCAATTCCATTCCCCGTTGGCAAAGCACCAGCGACGACTCTCGCCCATGAGGACGAACCCGGGGTTGCAGTCGAACTTCACTTCCGTTCCCACGGTGAAGGCGAACGAGCTCTTCCTTCCGTTTTTCGGAGTGGGCAGTGCTCCACAGGAAGTGACTGTCCGGAACGGGTGAATTAATTTGACGAACAATCGACTCAGAAACAACGAGATCGCATTCATTCAAAAACTTCAACTTTTGTTCATCTTTTTTCTTTGATGATACGAGTAACATTTCGCATTTCTTGTGCTTGTCGACTCCCCCGGAATATTTATAGCTAGAAGAATTTGCAGAAGTAACTCGGATTTAATTCGATACTTGTATGATACTGCAATTTTCATGCTGGGTTAGGAAAATCCAAAAAATTTCCGTTTCACAAAAAATATTATTTCTAGCGTGGAAAACTGTACGAGTACCCCGAAGAAGGATTATTTATTTAATTCCTGTACTTGAAATTAATTCATTTTGCAGAAAATCTTAACATTTGCCGCATAAAAATCAGGCGTAATCTGAGTCCCAGTTTTATATCTTTTGAAAATCCTATCGAAAATAAATTAATCTATTTCAGGGAAAATAACAGAAAATAATCTTTCATTTTTCAAATCGTGTATTTTTATATTTGTGAGATGTTTTTTTTACTGCTCGCCATTTTTGTTTCTCTCAATATTTTTCGGCTTTGTTGTTAGAAAAAATTATCCCTAGAAGTACTGTATCTCAGTTTTTATTTTAAATTCGGCATTTTTTCGAGCACGTGGTTTTGAAATTAAGTTAAAATAATTGCGATTTCTGCAAATTTTTCCACGAGAACTAATAGGTTCTTTTCCCCGGTAAATAAAAAAACAAAAGTCAAGTGTTAATATAAATTTAGGGCAAAAAATATGAGAAATAGGGAGAAAAAACATACTTTTCTCCAGTCCGGATTTCCGAATGTTGACAAATTCGTCCTGATAGTGTTTGGACCATTTGGTGAATTCCCTACTGTGAGTAGTCGCGTAGTCAAAGTAGCACTGGTAGGATTCTCCGCAAAACCGGTCAATCTCCAAGAAGCTCAAGGTTCTGCAAATTTCGTTAAACATCTCAATTATTCGTCTTTTTTTTACATTTTCAATTTATTAAAAAACTGAGGTAATTTACATGTTCGTAGGAATTTCTGGGCGGATATTCGACTCGGGTTCGTATTCTGCGTCGTAGAAAAAGTTGGAGGATCTTCCGTGTTCATGGAAAAACAGAGATTTCCCGATTTTCGGCATGTCCTTATCTTCCACATGCCCTGTATTCAAATAAAAAATAAAGTAATACCTTTATGAATCAGAAACAAAACTTCAGCAGTTGGAAATTTTCATGACGCCACGCATATTTTTTTTCACAGAAACCTCTGCTAATTTCAGATTCCAAGCGAATAAGAACGCGTTCAACTCAAGCATTTTTTGTATGAATGCTATCAAAGAACTAAAAGGGTTCATCAATTACCAAAAATTTCATATTATCGAGAAATTTTCAAGTTAGCGGAAACATAGTTTTTCTCCACTCACCTTCACAGCCAATCATATTCACGTGTTTTGAAAAATTCAAGAATTGGAAAATCATCAAGAAATACCTGGAGTTACCCAGAGGAACATTTTAGGAAACTTTAAAAAAATGGAAAAACTGTTTTTATATTTGATTGATCAATAAATTATTCGACCGCGTTTCTTTCTACACTCGTTTTCTACGTTTTATTTTTTACAAGCATATTTCAAAGCTTTTTAAAATTTAAAATTTTATAATTCAACCGAAAATTAACAATATTTAATCCTGTCGTGTATATCTCACATTTCATTCCAAAGTCCTGATGAAGTCGCCTGAGATCCGCAGTGTTGATATTAATATATTCCGTATGTTCTGTATCAGGCAGCAAAAAGTCGTCTTCCCTGGTCATGCTCCAGTTTCCAAACAATCCTCGGGTTTGATTCTAAATTTAATAACAACAAAAATCATCATCGTTTGAAAAGTAAAAAAAAAACACGTCGATTTGGAAATCGAAGACGAGATAATAATCCCACTCACGATGAAGGAAAGTGGCAGGTAAACTCTTCCGGTGATGTAACCCTGGTTCTCCACAACTTCCACACTTGCCCCGGACTGGAACAAAACCACGACGTGCGACTGGTTCAGGATGTTGCTGGGCGTATAAACCGTAACTCCTGCACACACACAAAATTTGATTTTTTAAAATTTTAGTCACGAAAGAAACGAAATATTCCGAATTTGCCTGTGAATTCCTGGATCTTTTGTGGGTATCTGTCGAAGAAATAGAACCTCCCGTCAACGATGACGTCCAAGTGATACCGCCAACGAGCCTCTTTTGGACGCAGACGAATCTCCACGGTGGAAGACGTGTTGTCCTTGGCTGTGGACATATTGATCAATGAAAATAATAATACGTCTTCCGTTTATTTTTTTTATTGACATAAAAGAGCCGGATGGATATTTCAAGACAAATTCAAATTCATTTTTGAACCTCAAAAGACTCCGATGAGCTAAAGTGACTTGATGCCTGAATTAACTTTGCAGGTATTTATAACTTGAAATTCCAGATTGCTGAACCAAACTGATGATTTTAAAATTATACAAAAAGGGCGAAGATGAAATTTCTCTAAAATAAATATATGTCGAACAGCTGGGGCTGACTTTTTTCTTGTGGCAAGAAATGCATGTTCTATCAGTTCAAAATCATATGACGTTTCAATTTCCATCAGGAAACTTGTGAAAGTACCCCTCGTATTTTCATAAATTTCAACAATAAGGCCTTATCGGTTACTGTTCTATATGTACTCACTGCATACGTATAAGCATTGAATAATTTAATTTGAGACTGTCAGTACATTAGGTTTCCAGTAATAAGTCTTACCAGCAAGTGAAGTGAGCATCGTGGCTTTTGACAACTTGATCAAATTGGGTTCAATCGCTTCGAATCTGCCCTGAACATCTAGCTTGTGCTTGGGCGTGTCCGCGCGGACAAGCACGAATTCTCCTCGTCCGTTGAACGTGTACTCGGTCCCGT